TAATATCTATATAATAATGAAAGCAGAAGGAGAAGAGGATGAGGAAGGGAACCTATTTGAAAAAGTCATAATGGAAACCTGCCCCAATTGGAGGAGAGAAAAAGTCACACAAGTCCAGGAAGCACAGAGGGTCCATTCAAGAGGAACCCAGTGAACCCCACTCCCCAACCCATCATCATTAAAATGGCAAATATCAAAGACAGAGAATCCTGAAGGGAGCAAGGGAGAAAGAGGTAGTAACTTATAAGGGAGCCACGATAAGGCTAGCACCTGTCTTCTCAACAGAAACACTACAAGCCAGAAGGGAATGGCAAGAAATATTCCAAGTCATGAAAAGCAAAGGCCTGCAACCAAGACTGCTCTACCCAACAAGGCTCTCAATTAAAATGGAAGGTGAAATAAGGAGTTTTCCAGACAAAAGAAGGCCATAAAAATACACCTCCACGAAACCAGCACTGCAAAATATGCTAAAGGGACTGCTTTAAAATGAAGAAAAAGAGTCTATGAATACCCAGTTCCTTTCAGAGTTGCCAATACTTGATAATACCAATATTTTTAATACTCATTAATCTGATTGTGACAATGATGTGTTCTTTTAATTGTTCCTTTATTATTTGTTGAAACTAAACTTATTTTTGTATATTTCTTGCCTGTTTCTATTATTTTAAAAAAGCTTTAAATGACTTTTTGGTATTCTTTATCCATTTTTTTAAATTAATTAATTTTTGAAAATACATTTGTCTCTGCCTTCTCTCCACCACTTTCCCTTGCCCACTCCCCCCTCTCCCTCCCTCAATCCTTCCCCTTTGGTTTTGTCCATGAGTCCTTGCTATATTTTCCTTGACTTTCCCTTTCCCTTCCTTTTCCCCCGCCCACCTCTCCCTCCTTCCCTCTTGTCTCTGTTGGTTTCTTTTTCTTTCAGTGTTGCTGGTCTTATTTTCCTTGCATCTTTGTATTGTTGGTTAGGTTCTGCTTATAGGTGAGATCTTTATCCATTTTTTGATTAAATGTTTGTAGAATTTTTTCCCTAAAGAAAAAAATACAAAACTATTAACCCTTTTTTAGATGTGTTGCAAATAGTTTCCTATTTTATTACTTGCCCTTTAAGTTTTTTTATATGTATATGACTGTACAGTCTTAAATGTTTAATATAGTCATATTGTCAATATTTTATTTTATACCTTCTGAGTTTGAATATTTTACTTCTGGTTAAGGAAAATATTTGTTTGTATTTTGTCCTAAATCTCCTTAGATTCTACATATTTATTTTTTCCCAATGTTTTATATTTTTATTTATAAATCATGTTTATTCTATAAGAGTTGTCTCAATTTTTACACCTTTACTCCCCTCCACCCATCCCACCCCCATCCCCCGTTCCCACAGCCAATTCCCACTCTGTTGTCCATGTCCATGGGTCATTCATACATGTTCTTTGTCTAGTCCCTTCCCCTTCTTTCCACCGTTGTCCTCTTTCCCCCTCCCTTCTGGTCACTTTCACTCTGCTCCATGTTTCCATGCCTGTAGTTTATTTTGTTGGTTAGTTTATTTGGTTGAATAGAATCCACTTACAGGTGAGATCATATGGTATTTCTCTTTTGTCAACTGGCTTATTTCACTTATCTTAATATTCTCCAGTTCCATCCATGTTGTCACAAAAGATTGGAGTGTCATCTCTCTCTCTTTCTTTCTGACTGATTTTATTTATTTTTTAAATGTCAAAGTTAATTATAAAATATTAAAAAAAATTAAAACCATTATAAAGTATCAGCAATTAAACCAACATGACACCAACACAGAAATAATTATGTAGATCAATTAAATATAATGGACATGCTAGAGACAAACATATATATCTGAATAATATATGTATGATTCAGTTGATACTTCAAATCAATGGGGAAAATAAGGCGTATTCCACAAATAAGGTGCATGGACCACTATTACTTGAAATAAAACAAATATAGAGCCCTATTTCACACATTATACAAGAAGTATTCAGGCAAGTTAAAAATCAATATGTAGAATCTAAGGAATTTTAAAAGAAAATACAAACTGATATTTTTCTTCAAATTATATTTGAAGTAAAATATTCCACCCCAGAAGCTATAAAGTAGATATTGACAATATGACTATATTAAATATTTAACTATAGAGTAATATACATATGAAAAAGGAACAATTAAAAGAACACATCATTGTCACAATCAGATTAATGAGTATTAAAAATATTGGTATTATCAAGTATTGGCAACTCTGAAAGGAACTGGGTATTCATAGACTCTTTTTCTTCATTTTAAAGCAGTCCCTTTAGCATATTTTGCAGTGCTGGTTTCGTGGAGGTGTATTTTTATGGCCTTCTTTTGTCTGGAAAACTCCTTATTTCACCTTCCATTTTAATTGAGAGCCTTGTTGGGTAGAGCAGTCTTGGTTGCAGGCCTTTGCTTTTCATGACTTGGAATATTTCTTGCCATTCCCTTCTGGCTTGTAGTGTTTCTGTTGAGAAGACAGGTGCTAGCCTTATCGTGGCTCCCTTATAAGTTACTACCTCTTTCTCCCTTGCTCCCTTCAGGATTCTCTGTCTTTGATATTTGCCATTTTAATGATGATGGGTTGGGGAGTGGGGTTCACTGGGTTCCTCTTGAATGGACCCTCTGTGCTTCCTGGACTTGTGTGACTTTTTCTCTCCTCCAATTGGGGCAGGTTTCCATTATGACTTTTTCAAATAGGTTCCCTTCCTCATCCTCTTCTCCTTCTGCTTTCATTATTATATAGATATTATTACATTTCAGGTTGTCCTGCATTTCTCTATACACTTCTTCATTCTTTTTGAGTCTTTCTTCATTTTCTTGCTCTTCCTGGGAGCTTATTTCTATCTTGTCCTCCAGCTCGCTGATTCGGTCCTCAGCTTCATCTAGCGTGCTTTGCATTCCTTTACTGTGTTCTTCAATTCAGAAATTGTATTCTTCATTTCCTCTTGTCTCTTATAGATAGTTTCTATGTCCTTTTTCATGCTGATATAGTTTGCAGTACGTTCCTCATAGTTTCTCTGTAGTTTTTTGTAATTCATTTTGAGCTCACTGAGCTCATTGAGCTTCCTTAGAACTGTTGTTTGGAAGTCAATATCTGATAGTCTACTTGCCTCTATTTCATTTAGTTCTCTTAGTGTGGATTCCTCCTTTCCCTTCGAGTGGGGCATATTTCTTTGTCTTCCCATTATTTGTGAGACTCTTGTCTTTTGCTTCTGCTTCTTAAGTTGATCTGTCTTGATTTCCTGACTTTGTGGTGTGAACTTCTATGGTAGGAGACCACTGTTTTTTCTTTCTGGATCTGCCTCTGATGATGTCAGATGTGTACCCTGTCTGACCTTAGGCCGTCTGTTCGAGACTTCCAGGAATCTACTGTTTATGGCTATCTCCTTCAGCTGTTAATCTATTCATTCTGCACTCAGCAGGCTGCCTTAGACAGCTGTGTGTGGGGCGGAGTTCCTCCTGGAGGCAGGATTATTGGGTCCTCTCATGCTGTTGCCATATAGGGGAGCAGTCAGCACTGGGATCCCTCTTGCTACTCGGATACCCTCTCCGTTCTCTCCCCAAAGACTCCTTTCCCAGTCTCCTCAGGTGTCTCTAGTGTACTCTGTCCCCGCCTTTGCCGGATACCAGGGTAAGTGGCTGCAAATAAAAATGTATGCGTTGGCCCTGTAAACAGTTCTTTGCGTCTCCAGCTGCCTGTCTCTGGCAGCGAGCAACCCTGCCGCTTTTGACAGCTGTCTGATTTCTGTGTACTTTTTCGGCTCTGGTGCTATAGGCTGGAGATCCCCACTTTTGGTTTAGACCTTGTTCTTTTCAGGGGGATCCAACTGGCCATTTCAATGTCCTTCTGGTGCTGGTGCCCGTGGATGCTCCGCCCGCCTTCTCAGGTCTGTACTACACTCCTTACCAGTTAGACTGTGCTAAAGCTAATTCTTTTGTCTCCGAGGTTACAAGGCTCCTCTCTCGCTCTTGTTCAGTTGTTTGTTCCAGGTGATTTCTCCATAATTTAGTTGTAATTCCAGGTTGGTCCTGGGAGCCACCAGTCTGACGTCCTCTCACTCCTCTGTCATCGTGATTCTCCCCTTGTCCCTCTTACTTTCACCCTAGTTATATCACAGATTTTTTTCATATGTCATTGAATTTGAAGTGAGTTTCTTGAAAATAACATATACTTGGTTGTGTTTTTTAAAATCCCCTCTGTACACAATTTACAATAGCCAAGTGCTGAAAGCAACCTAAGTGCCCATGAGTATATGAATGGATCAAAGAACTATGGTATATTTACATAATAGAATGCTATGCAGCAGAAAGAAGGAAAGAGATACTACCCTTTGCCACAGCATGGTTGGAACTGGAGAGCATTATGCTAAGTGAAATAAGGCAGGCAGTGAAAGACAAATACCATATGATCTTACCTATAAGTGGAAACTAATCAGCAAAGCAAGCAGGGAAGTGAAATATGACCAGCAACATTAGAAGAAAGAAGAAACTGATGAGGATGGGAGGGAGGGAGGGAGGAAGGAAGGGGGGAAGCAGGGAAAGGAAGGGGAAGGGCCAGATCAAAGAACAGGTGTGATGGCCACAGGGAGGAAGGTGAGGTGGGGAAAGATTGATGGGGGGGAGGTGGGGTAGGTGAGGCAGGGGAGAGTGGTGGTGGGTAAATGGAGAAAAATGTATGTGAAAAATAACAAAAGAAATAAAATAAAAAATAAAGAAACCATTAAATATTTAGAAACATTTAACATCCAAAGCCTTAAAATCTAACTGTATGCAGTAACCCATTAAAAAACTACAACTTTCATTTTGAGAAAAGTATTTTCTCTACAAAGAATCTTACCAACTATACAAAAATCTGTACAGTTTTTATACTGAAGCTAATACTGAGCTGCACTTGAATTCACATTCTTAGCAAAACAATTGCCTAAGCACACACTCATACTCCACACACATCATTAGAAGATAACCTTCTATTATTCATCTTCATCCTCTTCCTCATCCTCTTCCTCTTCTTCCTCCTCCTCATCTTCTGGTTCATTCTTCTTCTTTGAGCCTGTTGGCCTACCAACACCCATCCTTCCCATTTCACTTTTGCCTTTGGCATGGTATGCGGCAATATCCTTTTCATACTTCTCCTTTAGCTTAGCTGCTTTTTGTTCATATAGTTGCTTATCTTTGGCTGATGGTTCAGACCACATTTCACCCAATTTCTTTGCAGTATCCGCAATGGATAAACCAGGCTGCTCACTTTTGATCTTTGGGTGATGTTCAGAGCAAAACAGGAAGAAGGCAGACGGAGGCCTTTTAGGAGCATTGGTATCTTTTTTCTTCCTTTTGTTATCACCTTTGGGAGGAAGATAATTTTTCATCTCCCTTTCATAGTGAGCTTTGTTACTCTGTGTCATATCTTTGAACTTTGACTTTTCCTTTACAGACATGGTCTTCCGTCTCTCCAAACATTTCTTGGAGAATTTGGAAAAGGTGACGGGAGAGTCTGGGTGTTTCTTCTCGTGCTCTTCCTGACAGGTTTGCATGAAGAAGGCATACGAGAACATCTTGCCCCTCAGCTTGTTGGGGTCTCCTTTAGCCATGGTGACAGATGGCGTCTACCTGGTGGTAGGTTTTCTTCAGAGTCCCATTGAGTGGCAGGGTTCAACCAAGACACTTTCCTCACTGGGATCCAGTGTGAACTCCCATTTTTAGTTTTTTGAGGAAATTCCAAACTGTTTCCCACAGTGCCTGAACCAGTCTGCATTCCCACCAACAGTGTGCTAGGGTTCCCTTTTCTCTACAGCTTTGCCTGCACTTGTTGTTTGTTGATTTGTTTATGATGGCTTTTCTGACAGTGATGAGATGGTTATCTCATTGTGGTTTTAATTTTCATTTCTCTGATAGCTAGTGATGCTGAGCATCCTTTCATATGTCTCTGGGCCCTCTGTATGTCCTTCTTGGAGAAGCGTCTGTTCAGGTCCTTTGCCCATTTTTTAATTGGATTGTTTGTCTTCCAAAGAAAGAAACAACTCCTACACTTCGTGACAGCATGGATGGAACTGGCAAGTATTATGCTAAGTGAAATAAGTCAGGCAGTAAAAGACAAATACCACAAGCAAGCAAAATAACACCAGAGACATGGAAATAAAAAACAAACTGACAGTAACCAGAGGAGTGCAGGGAGGGGGTTAAAAAGGGAAAGGAGGGGAAGAGTCAAGTCAAGGAATATGTGTAAAGGACCCATGTACAATGGGGGTGGGGTGGGAGGAGGATTGAATGTGGGAGATGGGGGCAGGTAGGGCAGGGTAGAATAATAGGGTAAAAATAGGGACATCTGTAATTTAACAACAATAAAAAAATATCGGCCTTCTGGCAACAAATTATTTTAGTTTTCTTTTATCTGGGATTATTTTTTATTTTCCCTTCATTCCTGAAACATCATGTTGCCATGTACAGAATTCATTGTTGATAGTTCTTTTCTTTCAACACATATTTCTGGCTTCCATCATTCAGAAGAGAAATCTCTTGTCATTTGAATTGGTGTAATGCATTATTTTTCTTTGGTTGCTTTCAAGGTTTTTTTTCTTTGTCTTTAGTTTTCAAAAGTTTAATTATAATGTGTTATGACATAGATTTCTTTGGAATTTGATAAACTTTGTGTATTTTGACAAACAAGAAATTTTTGGTCATTATTTTACATTAATTATATCTAAGAAGGCTTTGCCTACTGGTTTATTTTTGAATCTCAATGTACTTGGCACATCGTTGATGCTCTCTATGTGTTTATCAAATGAATAAGTAAATCTGAGAATAAATAGGTCAATAAATGAACTTGTGAGCAAGAGTGATAAATGGTCAACTATAAATTGGGATTTCAGGTCTCTTGATCAAAATATTGATTTCCCATGAGGAGCTGACCCAGTTTTGTCTATTTATAGGCTGTAATCCTATGTGAAATGCATTTCCCCAGGGTGCTCATGCTCTTTTGTCCTTGGTTATTTGCATCTTCACATTCCTGAAGCATCTAATCTCATGTTATGATTGAGGAAAAGAAGGAAAGTGATGGGGGATCTCATGAGAACTCTTGAAACTCCCAACAGGGATAAGGAGCAATCCAGGAGACTGAAATTACCAGAACCCTGGCTTTATTTACCCTGTTTTGTCCCTATCATTTGTATACTTTGAAATATGTCCATTAAAATTATCACTAGAATAAACTTGGATGAATTCTTAAATATGTATTTTGATAGAAAATTAAATGTTCCCAGATGCTCAGAAGGACAGTAGTCTTGGCACTGTGTCCCAGCAGCCACTCTTATCTATAGCTCACAGGACTGAGCTATAGTGCTATGAGTATCAATTTTAGCTTAGGCTGGAAGCAGCAACACACCTGTATTTGATTTTCAAACCAACAGTGACAAAAGATTTGGTCAGTAAATTTTGCCAGAGGCAGAAGCAAGTTTACTGTAATAGTTTATTGAAAAAAAAGTCCCTGTACTGAATGTATGTTTTCATTTTTTCTCTCTTCTTTTCTTTCTTTCTTTCTCTCTCTCTTTTTCTTTCTTTCTTTTTTTCTCTTCCTTCTTTTCTTTTCTTTTTTCTCTCCTTCCTTCCTTCTTATCAATTAAAGGCTACTTCCGTACGCAGAGTACATCCTAAAACTGAAACATGTAATGCTTGCTGAATCAGTGTCAAATTAATCATAAATTTAATAAAAGTGTATTTAGACAACAGCTGTACATTTTCCAGCAAATGAATTTATATGTACTGAAAAGCAAAGCAAATATTAATAGGTCAAATAGTATGGATATATTCTGGTGAACACAACTTAATGGAGTTTTCCTCAATTCAGAGTTTAACTGACTTGTAATTCTAGCTGTGGTAAGGTTTTTCAGAGCCTAGTCTGAACCTGTGATCCCTTACCACTTGGGGACTATTTAAGCATTCCTGCTTCATGACCATTTTCCAAATAACTTGGGGAAACTTAACCAAGTTGTGGCAGTGGGAAGGCCAGGGGCCCCCTGGGGAAGCTGTAACTGTTACTGCCTGTAGACCAACCCAACCTAGTTCTAGGCCCACAAATGTCATTTCCAAACTTCCAAGACTATTTCAGGTATAAAAGGGTGCCTTAAATCATTGGAGTGGGGATGTATGGTCAGTTTTAGGCTCTGTCCACAAAAATAAATTGCAACCTAGAATTTTAGCTAAGTTCTGAGCATGTCCAAAGAGCTTTCATGTTCACCATAATTCTAGGTGAGAGAGCCAGGACAAAGAAAAGCCACAAACACAGTGAAAGCAAAATTACTTAGAAATGAAATATTTAATGTTTATAGAAAGAATAGGGTTATTTTGTGTCCCTGTTAAGTGGTCTTTGAATTTGTTGGTTTGGTTAATATGCTTGCTTTATTTGGGTGAAATACTTGCTGCTTCTTTATTTGCTGCGGATCGGGTAATATAAAAAAGGATATATATCAGGTATATCCTGGTCATCAGTGGAGTAGGTAGGGGTTGTTTCAGAGTTAACATGAATAATTAAAATCAGGAATTAACCCTTTGTTTATGATAAAAATTGCACCTTTTTTTGCTTTTTTATTTAATCTTTACTGTATTTTTCCATTACCATTTAGTCCCCTTATTCCATCCCTCCCAGCAATCACCACACCGTTATCTATGTCCATGAGTCCTTTTTCCTTTTTTGCTCAATACCTTCACCTCTTCCCCTCCGCACCACTAGCTGTCATCCTGCTCTCCATCTATGAGTCAGTCCCCATTTTTCTTGTTAGTTCAGTTTGTTCATTATATTCTACATATGAGTTAAATCATATGGTATTTGTATTTCTCTTGACTGCCTTATTTCACTTACCATAATGTTCTCCAGGCCCATCTATACTGTTGCAAAGATAACATTTTCTTCTTTTTTATGGCAGCATAGTATTCCATTGTGTAAATGTCCCATAGTTTTACCTACCTGTCTACTGATGGGCACCTGGGCTGCTTCGATATCTTGGCAATTGTAAATAATGCCGCAATGAACATGGGGTGCTATGTCCTTTCAAATTGGTGTTTGGGGTTCCTTCATATATATATATATATATATATATATATATATATATATATATATATATATTTACACACACACACACACACACACACACACACACACTCACCTGAGGATATGTTTATTGATTTTATTGATTTATTTATTTGTTTCTTTATTTTTTCAAATACATTTGTCTCTGCCTTCCCCCAACCACTTTCCCTTGCCCCCTCCCCCTTCTCCTTCCCTCAATCCTTTCCCTTTGATTTTGTCCATGAGTCCTTGCTATATGTTCCTTGACTTCCCCTTCCCTTCCATTTATCCCACCTACCTCTCCCTCTTTTCTCTGTTAGTTTCTTTTCCTTTCAGTGTTGCTGGTCTTAGTTTCCTTGCATCTTTGTATTATTGCTTAGGTTCCACTTATACGTGAGATCTTATGGTACTTGTCATTCGCCCCCTGGCTTATTTCACTTAGCATAATGCTCTCAAGTTCCATCCATGCTGTCACAAAGTTTAGTAGTTCATTTTTTTCTTTCTGCTGTGTAGTATTCCATTGTGTAAATATACCATTGTTTTTTGAACCAATTATCTACTGATGGGCATTGAGGTTGCTTCCAACACTTGGCTATTGTAAATTGTGCTGCTATGAACATTGGGGTGCATAGGTTCTTTTGTATTGGCGTTTTGGTGTTCTCAGGGTATAGTCCCAGCAGGGGAATCACTGGATCAAAAGGCAGTTCCATTTTCAGCTTTTTGAGGAAACTCCACACCGCCTTCCACAGTGGCAGTACCAGTCTGCATTCCCACCAACAGTGTACTAGGGTTCCCTTTTCTCCACAGCCTCGCCAGCACCTGTTCTTTGTTGTTCAGTGTATGATGGCCATTCTGACCGGTGTGAGGTGGTACCTCATGGTGGTTTTGATCTGCATTTCTCTGATGGCTAGTGATGCTGAGCATCCTTTCAACTGTCTCTGGGCCCTCTGTATCTCCTCCATGGAAAAGCGTCTGACCAGGTGCTTTGCCCATTTTTTGATTGGATCGTTTGTCTTTTTGGAGTGGAGTCGAGTGGTTCTTTACATATCTTGGAGATCAAACCTCTATCTGATGTATCATTAGCGAATATATTTTCCCATAGGGTAGGCTCCCTTTTCATTTTGCTGATGTTTTCTTTAGCTGTGCAGAAGCTTCTTATCTTGATGAGGTCCCACTTGTTTATTCTTTCCTTTATGTCCCTTACTTTAGGAGACATATCAGTAAAAAAATTGCTGCGTGGGATATCTGAGAGTTCCCTGCCGATGTTCTTCTCCAGGACTTTGATGGTGTTGCGACTTATATTTAAGTCTCTTATCCATCTTGAGTTTATTTTTGTGTGTGGTGTCAGCTGATGATCCAATTTCAATTTTTTGCATGTAGCCGTCCAGCTCTCCCAACACCATTTGTTGAAGAGGCTATTACTGCTCCATTTTATGCTTTTGCCCCCTTTGTCAAATATTAATTTTCCATATAGACCTTGGCTTATTCTACGCTTTCTATTCTGTTCCACTGGTCTATGGGTCTGTTCTTGTGCCGGTACCAAATTGTTTTGAGTACAGTGGCTTTGTAATATAGTTTGA